CGATTTAGGAAAGAATCTCGAAAGGCCCTATGTATCTTGGATTAAGCTTCCCACGCTTTCCGAAGCGTATCAAGCCCTTCCAGGGTGAGACCTTCAGTAGAACGCGGTCGCCCACCTGGAATTCCAATGGTTTCCTTCGCTTGTCAGCGTAGCTTTTCTGTCGGCCTCTAGAGGCTTTCAATCGTTCACGAATTTGAACGATCTTCTCTGTCGTTTCCCGAATGATCTCCGGACCTGTGAGAGTTCTTTCGGGAACTCGTCCCTTAGCTAACTGGGTATCACCCACCTCAGCCCAGCACAGAGGGGATCTACACTTTCGGCCATAGAGGGCTTCGAAAGGAGCTGCCTTTATGGTCGTGTGATAACTGTTGTTGTAGGAAAATTCGACAAGGGGTAAATGAGTATCCCAAGCTTTCCTAAAGTCAATCACACATGCTCGCAACATATCTTCTAAGGTTTGGATAGTTCTCTCGCTTTGTCCGTCGGTATGTGGATGGTAGGCTGTACTCATGTCCAACCTAGTTCCTAGGGAACTTTGTAGCGACTGCCAGAACCTTGAAGTGATTTTGTTCTTTTCACCTTGGCCTTAGAAAAATGATACTTTAGTGGATTGAATTTTTTTCTTTCCACCTTGGCATCTAAAATGAGAAAGGAATCTAATTATATGATAATACATAATACTTTATGTTATGCATGAAATGAAATCCTTTGATAATACATGGAAATGTTTTATGGTCTAAAACTCATGTAACTCACAAGAAGTTTTGTCTTACGTATTTTTTATGCCATGTATCTTAGCTCAAATGTATTAAGTGTTCTAGAAGTAATGGAGTCCATAGGAGACTTAGTGGAGCATAAGTTACGTATAATTATGTTTTGTAAATCTTGTTTTGCTTGTTATGGTTTATTTGATACAATGTTGGTAACACCCATGAGACTATTTTGAAACTACTGTTCAAACTCTGATATTTTCTTAAATGGTTTTTGTTAAACCTTGTTTTTGGATTAAACCATAGCTTTAAATTTGTTTTAGAAATATGGGTGTTACAGTGAAGTGGTGCGACATCAGCTAGGAAGGAGAATGAAATACTTCTTATAAGGGGGTGTGGGAACCTTCCTTATATGATGCATTTTAAAGTCATGAGGGTAGTAGATCCCATGAGAACTCTGTAATTAAGCATAATCAGGCAAGAGTAGTATCCAGATGGGTGACCCCCTGGGAAGTCCTTGTGCTGAGTGGCCCAAAGTGGATATACGTGCACCTAGGGATATTACAAATTGTATCAAATCCAAGACACGACTGTGTTCGACATTCGACTTGGGCATCTACCCCTTATAGGGGAGAGAGAGAGAGAGAGAGAGAGAGAGAGAGAGAGAGAAAGAAAGAAAGAAATAAAGAAAGAAAGAAAGAGAAGTGGTGTGACACCATCTCATATCAGCAGGGAAAGAGAATGGAACACTCCTTATAATGGGGTGTAGAAACCTTCCTTACAGGACATGTTTTAAAGCTGTAAATGAGAATGAAACACTCCTTATAAGGGGGTGTGGAAACCTTCCTTACAGGACACGTTTTAAAGTCATAAGGGTGGTAGATCCCATAAGAACTCTACAATTAAACGTGCTCGGAGGAGAGTAGTACTGTGATGGGTGGCCCCTGGGAAGTCCTTGTACCGAGCAACAAGGGAAGTTCACATAATCTTATTCCCGTCAAATTCATGGGCTTAATGTAACATCACCAGGTCCCTAGGAAGTCCTTGTGCTAATTAGCCAAAAGTGGACAATATCTTGTACGTCCGCCTCAGGATGTAACATGAAGCCCATGAATTTGACAGGAATAAGGTTACATGAACTTTCCCTTGTTGCTGAAGCCTTTTGTATCCATATAAGTAGCCTTGTTAACCCTAACACCTAGTTTTTAAATTTTAGCAAATGAAAGAAAAAAGGAAAATAAAGGAAAAGAAATTTGTATTTGTGTTCCCAAGTTAAAGAGAAGTGGAAATAAAATCAAACATTTTGTTTCATTCTTTCCAAATCCTTTCAAATTGGAAGGAAAGTTAGGAGAGAAAGTTTTCCTTCCATTTATTTCCATTAATGAAACTTGGGAACACCAATTTTTTACTTTCTTCTTACTTTCATTTATTTTTTTTCATTTCCCTTGTTGAGTTGATCTCGGGGAACAATGTGTAAAACGTAAAAATACAAACTCACGCACACACGCCGCTTAAGAAAGAAACAAAATCGAGAGAATCAGAGAGAGAGAGAGAGAGAGAGAGAGAGAGAGGAGGAGACCGTTGAATTGTTGAGCTTTGCTACAGAAATCCCATAGGAGAGTGCGAGAATGAGAGGCTATTTGGGGCTTGTGTTTAAAGTAACCACCGTCGTCACCATTTTCATTTTCTCTCTTCTTTTTTTGCATTGCTGCCGTACACCACCAATGTAGCCTCTTTCAATCGGTTAGCCACTATGAAACCACCACATTACTACCATCTAATGGTGGTTGTGGTGCACCTGTTCACTGCACTATTGATCGAAGAGAGTTTAGACTATGTGTGTGTTTTTGGTTTGGAAATTGTCATTACCATTTCTAACCACCATGCTGCCACCACTGGAAGCCCCTACCATCGGTGTTCATGTTCCTTCCTGAACCAGAACCACCACATGCCACCATGCAAGGGTGGTTGTGGTTGAGGGGCTTGCAAAGTGCAAACCAGTTAAGATAATGGGTTGTAATCCATCTTGAGGTACTCCAAATGAATTTTTATCCATTGAAAGTTGCAAAGTTAAAGCTAGTTCATTAATTTATAAGAGCTTAAAGAAAGGGTAAAAAGTGACTTAATAACCTTTAATGCTTAAAACCCTAATTTATCACGAACTTCTAAAAATAATAATTAATTCTAAAAGATATTTGAATTTGTATTTTATATAGTTGAAAATATATGGATGTCAACCGAAGTCTTATTGATTTTGATCTTAAGGTCATTTTCATCGTTTCTAAAAATAATAATTAATTCTACAAAAATCATTTGAATTTGTATTTTATATAGTCGAAAAGATACAGATGCCTACTACATTTCATCTTTAAAAGTCTTATTGATTTTGATCTTAAGGTCATTTTAATCGTTTTGTTCAACGTTATTACAAGATAGTTCGGCATTTTGCTGCAATCTATTCCTTCCAAAATGGTATAAGATCATCGGAGTATCCAAATCCTATGAGGCCTAGTTTTTTTCAGAAATTTTGGTGTCATTAATCCATTTGAACTTTGAACCACTTGGCCTAATTCTCACCCGATGAAATATTTATGTTGCAATCGTTACAACTAGTCCAAAGGAAGTAAATCAGACCCTGAACAAAAGGCTGTAATGAAAGCAAAAGTAAAAGTAAGGATAAATAACTTATTCTCACCAAACGTTACAAAGATTGCAACATAAAACAGACAAAAAAAAGTAACAGCTTCTAGCGGCTATTAATAATTACCCTATTTAGGATCGAGTCGTTTAAAATGATATAAATAGTATGCAACACAAGTAAAACTCAAAAATTAACTCAATGGTTTCCAACTGAGAGAATCCAATACAAATAAATACACACATATGAACTCACCATATTTTTCAATATTATTTTGTATCCAACTTCTTTTGGTTTTGCTTTTTTTGACACAAAAATAATAAAAAATGTGATGGATCTATCGCTGTCAGTCAGACTACAACCTTTTGAGCTAAAATGGCTTTCAATGCTTCTTTGATGTACGGATACTTATACGAAAACCCTAATTCTTTCGCTCTAACAGGCAACACATGTCAAACAAAAACCCTTTTATAATTTATAATAACATATCTTAAATCATTTATAATTTATAATCATAAACTAAGTACATGTCAATAATATTAAAATAATGTAATAAATAAATAGATATGGAAATTGGAATGTAAGAAATAGCAATGTACATTCATATATTTGTGTGTCATGTGTCGAGATATTATACTTTGGAAATTTTACCTATAATAGCATTGAAAGTTGCTTTATATTAATTGACATTGTTTTAATTGAAAATTCATTTCCATGCAAAGTTGAATTTTCCAGAATGAATCGGATACTATGATTTTCTTTTAACAGTAACTATTCCTTCTTACACGGAAAAATGGACTGAACTTTAGTCTAGATCAAGTCAAAACAGATATTATGGTTATCTGCAGTCCAGAGTTAATTAAGATTAGTTAAATTTCTGTTATAATAAAACATAGACAAAAAAGTTATAATTTAAAGCACATAACTCTAAAGATTCTCACATCAATACTCTGAAGTTGTAAACAACATATCAAAGTTGATACATGGTTATAAGAGCAATCAGAAAAATCCAGAAATTTATGAACCCATTAAGGCATGTCTTTTTTTTTTTTTTCCATTAAGTGTTGTCTGGATAAATTATTTGTTAAGCTCACCGATATGGATCCTAGCTCAAACTTTCCTTCTTCTTCCTTCAAGAGCTTCCAAGACTACCAAACATGAGGACAAGAGCACCAAAGAGGTTTAGGGTTAGAGTTGTTGGGTTTAAGAGTGACGGAGGCTGAAGGTGGGCAACCCTAGTCTCCCCACTTTCCTTTAAATACCTGAAAGTTAGGGTTTTGCCACCAGACCACCACCACCTCGTGGTAACATGCTGCCACGTTGTGGTGGCCTAATGAAACATGCGATCTCAACCTGATTCGCCACGTGATGTGGTCCTTCACCACGTCGTGGCAAACCTAAGCATAAAAAAAATATAATTGCCAAGTACCTCAAAATCTGGATGTTACAAATTTTAATGAGTTTTGCCACCTCCAAACTTCTATATGTCTCCAAATTTGCAATGCAGTTGCTGCGGCAGGCTACCTTAACACGACACTTGTCATTCTAAATTTTCATTTCCATAGCATTTGGAGAGATCCCAGGTTTCTAAACCTGATCTTTTACTAATTAGTGAACATACTAATATTTTTATTGTTTCTTTTCCAGTTATTATGCCTCCTTCAGCTCTTGATCGCCTTGGTTAGTTTATAAATATTAGATTTTTCTTTATATAATTATATCAAATTTGCTTTAATAAAATATTGATGGCTTTTAATCTTTACATTTTACAGCTTCCCTTCACATTGATTATCCAATGCTGTTTGAGCTACACAATGTTGCTGCTGAGAGAGTGTTACATTGTGGTGTTTTGGAATTCATTGCTGAAGAAGGCTTGATATATATGCCTCATTGGGTATGAATTTCTTAAATCCATTCTTTTTTTTTGTTTTTTTTCAACAATTAGAACATACCTTAAAGTCTTTTCTTCATGTAGATGATGGAAAATTTGCTTTTACAAGAAGGGGACCTTGTGAGAGTAAAGAATATGACCCTTCCAAAGGGTACATATGTAAAATTGCAACCGCACACATCCGACTTTCTCAACATTTCCAACCCAAAAGCAATGTAAGTCAACCGCACAATTTATTCAAGACAGATTCCAATTCCGATTTCCATTCCTCAAAATTACGAAAATGCCCTTAATTTGTTTTTTTTTTTTGTTTTCGATGCACAGATTAGAGACGACGCTTAGGAACTTCTCGTGTTTAACAACAGGAGATAGCATTATGGTGGCATATAACAATAAGAAATACTACATTGATATTATTGAATCAAAGCCTTCTAGTGCAATCACCATTATTGAAACTGATTGTGAGGTTGACTTTGCTCCTCCCCTTGATTACAAGGAACCACAAAGGCTCCCTTTATCATCATCATCCACCCAAGGTACAACTTTCATAGGATAAATTGCAGAAAATAGCAATGTACTTTACTTTTATTTATTTATTTATTAATATAGTAAATAATTTTTATTTATTTATTTATTTATCCTTGCAGATGAAGAAAGTCTACCAGAGGAACCAAAGTTCAACCCGTTTACAGGATCGGGGAGAAGGTTGGATGGGAAGGCTTTGACATACCAACCGCCGCCTGTTTCCACCACCTCCAAAGGGAAACAACCGGCGGTTTCCGGCGGAAGACCTACCGCCGCTTCTAGCTCCCGCCAGACTCAGGGAAAACTCGTGTTTGGTTCTAATTCTAATGCTGCTGCCCCTCAAAAGCGAAAGGTGTTTTTTTTTTTTTTTGTTAAATGTTTAGCAATGATAAGAATGTAGTTGTATTTTGTTACCAATATGGTAATATTAGTATTTATATTTTTATTTTTGGTAAATAAATGTAAGTATTTTGGTCATAACGCCATTTTTTTTTGTGATGTGTAGGAAGCTGCTAAAGAGAAGAAAGTGGAAGAACCCACAAAGGAAGAAGCCAAGTTTCAAGCTTTTACTGGAAGAAAATATTCGCTAAAGGGTTAACTATCAAGAGTCAAGAGAACCATAACTATGTTTATTAATTTCCCTCAAGTCTTTGATGACTTTTAACTTGTAAAGTAACTTAACTTTAAACGAAAACTTAAAGATTAGTCAAATTTACCATTTAAAACATTGAGGTTTTGCTGTGTTGCGTTGATTTTTTTTTAAAGGATTCAACCTTAAATAGGGGTTCTATGTATGATCATTTTTGGGTTTACAAGATCACACAAAAAACATAATTTTAACTTATTAGTTCGAAACATGACAAGTATTTCGTATATTCAGATTTCTGTTTAAAACCTATAAAACCTTTTAAATATCAGTCACAATAAAAAAAAAACAAACTTATAAAGAGTAAAAGTCATAACGTGGTAAATTTAACTTTTTTTTTTAAACTTTTTTCAAAATAAAAAAGTTAAAACAACATAGATAAAAGTTTCGGGTCAAGAAAGCAAATCATCATATGCAGCATCTTTATGTTTTTGGTTACACAATCCATACAAATACTAACGCACGATGATATTTTTCAATATTATTTTGTATCCAACTTCTTTTGGTTTTGCTTTTTTTGACACAAAAATAATAAAAAATGTGATGGATCTATCGCTGTCAGTCAGACTACAACCTTTTGAGCTAAAATGGCTTTCAATGCTTCTTTGATGTACGGATACTTATACGAAAACCCTAATTCTTTCGCTCTAACAGGCAACACCCTTTGTCCTTCCAAAACCTGCCAAATAAAACATTTTTAGGAATATATATATATATATATATATATATATATATATATATATATATATATATATATATATATATATTATGTTCCCTTAGGAGTAGTAATGTTCTTAAGGGTTTGACATAATTAATCCTTTTTTATCTATTTTGATATTTTTGATTATTTTTAGGAATCTTTTAATATTTAAAGTTTGATCACAGAGCTTTAAGGAATTGACAACTTTGGTTTTTTTTTAAAAAACTTGCTAATTACAACCCTTATAGTAAACTTGCCTTTTTTCAACTTTGCCCCTTCTTTTTTTTATCCATTTTGACACTTTTGGTCATTGGAATCAAAAAAATTTCATTTTTTAGAAACCTTTTAATATTCAAAGTTTGGCCACAAAACTTTAAGAAATTGACGACTTTGATCCATTTTCTAAAAACTTGCTAATTCAAACCCCTTTAATTTTTTAGCCATTTTGATACTTTTGATTTTGACACTTTTGGTCATTAGAATAAAAAATTTACATTTTTTAGGAACCTTTTAATATTCAAATTTTGGCTACAAAACTTTAAGGAATCGACAATTTTGGTCCATTTTCTAAAAACTTGTTAATTCAAACTCATTTAATTCTTTAGCCATTTTGATACTTTTGATCTTTACAGTCAAAACTTTTACATTTTTTCATAAAAAACACAAAAAACGGCCGATTTTGTCCGCTAGTTTACATTACATGTCTTAATCATTTACAATTTATAATAATCATTGAAACATTAACTACTATATATACTAATTTATTATTTAACCAATAAATAACTTGATAATAAAAAAAAATATTTTCGCTTATTTTACTTTAATAATAACGCAAATTTTCTCCCATTCACATTAATTGCAATCCCAGTCCAGTCCAGTCCAGTCCAAACACAGTAGTACATAAAGGGCTTTATGCTTACCACTATCGCTCCTTCTCCAAGGACCGCTTTGAGAGCAAGGTCAGGCACCGGTAGCCATGACGGCCGCCCCATCACCGCTCCCAAATGTTGGCACATTTCCGCTAGACGGACAGGGTTCGGCGCGGTTCCATTGATCACTCCTGAAATCCAATAATAATACTAATATATAAAAATAATATTTTATAACTTTTATGTTATGTATTGATAAACACATGAATTGTCACCTTTATAAGATGGATTTGATAAGGCTTCACATAACAGATTCACCAGGTCATCTATATGAATCCAGGAAAACCTAACACGTTTCTAAACTTTAGTCTTATATAAATTTTAGATAATAATATATGTGGTTTTATAATTAATTAATTAATTAATAATAACAATTTGCAACAACTTAAAGTTATAAGTTTAATTTAAATCAGTTAATCATAACAAGAGTAAGTACCATTGTTTCCCAGAGCCCAATGGGCCTCCAGCAAACATCATGAAGATAGGAACCATTTTAGCTGCAAACTCACATCAGTAACAACTCATCAAAATGCAAGAAATAGTAATAACACTTTATATTAAAAAAAATTAAAAAAATAAAAAAATACCTAAAGCACCACCATCTTTTCCAAGCACCACCCCAATACGAATAAGCGCAAGTCTAACATCCTTATCAACTGCAAGAGCTTTTCCTTCCCATTCTCTACAAACCTAATCATATAAAATATATATATATATATATATATATATATATATATATATATATAAACAAAATTACAAAAATAAAAATCTCATTACTTTTTTGTTAGAATATTTATTTTTTATAATTATTTACCTCGGATAGATAATCATTTCCAGAAGGGCTTTGTTCATCAAACACTTGTGTTTCACTAGTACCTGACTCAAAATAAATAAAGAAATAAATAACATGTGTCACATACTCACGTCACATGATTAGGTAACATAACATAATATAAATCAACTTGTGAAATTACAATTTTGTCCCATACCATAATAGCCAACTGCTGTTGCACTAACCAAAACTTTTGGTCTTGCATCACTTGTGGAGCTATTTATCGAGTCAACAACCTTTATAAAAAGTCAAACAAGCCCATCAAAACAAAGTGCTCGTTCTTTTATACCATTTCCCTTCATTCTCGATTTTGTGGGTCCCACCTTCATTTCTCCTTCTGTGGGACCCGTAAAACGAGAAGGGCAAGTGGTCAAATCTTACTTTCACTGAAAAAAAGGCTGTTTTTTTTTTTTTTAAATACATTTTATAATTGTTTTGTTGGTCTTCTAATTTACAATTAATAACCTTTGAGGTGACTCCAATCCTGCTTTGTTTGATCTCTTTCTTGATCTACAGTTGAAAAAATAAAAAATCATATTATTTATGACACAATGATTTCTATAAACAGTAGAAAAAGTATAATGGTTTAACACTATAGATGGTTTATTTACCTCAGAAGACCATCTTGTACTAATTGGCAATCCAGCCAAATTTACAACTCCAGTTGACTTTTGAATGCAATCTTTCCATTGAGACTCTTCTGCAATTACAATGCCTGGGAAATCCTTCACTACAACCAATAAAGGAGTATTTAGAATTTAGAATTTAAGATGAAAGCAAAGACTTTTAAGAGGGGTTTATAGTAATTGACATTGTTATAAACTTATAATTGAAGATTCATTTTCACAGAAAGTTGAAATTTCCAGAATGAATCAGATATTATGGATTTTTTTTAACAGTAACTATTACCTTCTTACCCGGAAAAATGGACTGAGCTTTAGATCTAGATCGAGTCAAGACACAGATACTATGGTTATCTGCATTCCAGAGTTGATTAAGATTCAGTTACATTTCTATTATGATATAAAGTAAACAAAAAAGTTATATCTGAAACATGCCATGCCACATCAATACTCTGAAGTTGTAAACAACATATCAAAGTTGATACATGGTTATAAGAGCAATCATAAAAATCCAGAATGTAAATCCAAGAGCCTTTGAAACAGATAGAAGGAATCATGGAATATTAATACCTTCATAGAGCCTTTGCACCAATTTACTCCCTATAAAGCCTGTAGCTCCTGTTATTGATACTGTCATCTGGTTACCCTGCAACAAACCCAAGAGGAGATCAGCTTTTCACCAACAACAATGGATTATGGAAGAGTTTGATATTCCTTTTTCTTTTGAAAAGAAAAGAGCTAAGCTTTGACTTTTTCTCATCTTGAAATAGATTGTTATGGCGAATAATTTAGCTTGGAATTTTCGCCAAAAAGTGAAGCATTACAATTTGCATAGTATATATGACTTGAGGAATTGTTCGATTTCTATGGCTGGAAAGTTATGAAGTTAAGAATTCAAAGTAAGTAGACTTGTAAACGCTAGTTTAAGGCCAAAATGTAGCTCCAACTTCCATATATCCGAATGATATTTTCTTAATTGTTCAAACGATGAAGTGATTTAAAAATTCATACAACTACTTCAACTGAATAATCATCTCCTTCGATTCTCTTCATAGAATTTACAATCAATGTGTCGATGATGGATTAGTAAATGCAGAAAACTCATTCACCTTAACCGACTGAGACGAGTCATTGACGTCGGTTTTAACACACCAAACCCTAACTCTTCTGAATTCACTCACCTGAAACAGAAAAAGAAAACTAACCCTAACACATCAATTTCGACAACGTAAAATACAAATCCAGATAGAGGGAGATGATACCGAAGTCGGTTGAGGAGAAGAGTGAAGAGAAGGAGAAATTGAGGTTCTCCAAGTCAGAGCAGAAGCTCCACAGAGCTCCATTGATTTCAGCAGAGTAACGTGTGTGAGAATTTTGTGGTGTCGAGTGGGAAGATGCAGGGTTTTTTGTGCTGCTGGAGCTGGTGGTCACGGTGGGCAACAATGGTGGATTGGTCATCGTGTTTGCATTCGAGCCACATTTTAATTGCATTTCTTCATATCTTATTGTGGTACCCACACTTGTTCACTTGTTTAATTTGTATACTTAATTTAGCAAAATCAAGGTAGTGTCGACCTATTTGTTAATAATAAGAGATTCATTAAATTATATTTTGGTAATTTTTGTATCATCCAAGAATCATAAATTTCAAATTAAGAAGAAAAAAAAACATCAAGTACTCATATGATACACATCAATAATGATCGTCAGACGAGATGACATACTGGTACAATACCCCTTTGCAAAAACCATCATGAAATGCATTTTCAAATGGTGCAACTAGGAGTGCAAACGAGCCAAGCTACTCGTGAGCTACTTGGGATTGGATCGCTAAAAGCTCGACTCGAAACCGATTTTAGACGAGCGGC